AATATACGGGAGGTGAAATAGATCCACTTATCCAATCAACATTGTCAACCTATCGATTTCTTAGGGAGGGAAATAATATTGATTGCCAATTGAACTCTGAGAGAATTTATCTCCGGGCTCTGTGACTGTGACGTCATTCTCCACACCAGACACCGCTACAAAGAAAACTTTCCAAATCTTGCTGGCCTCGCTGCCGTCCAGGCCCAATCTGCTGACCACGACTCTCCCCGTCCTGACGTCACCAGCTGTCCCCATTGCTTACGTCGCCAACTGTCCTCGTTCCTTTGTTGTTGTTTTGGGTTTTTTTAAGTTTATAGATTCTTACATATTCAATCAATTTTTCTTGGGGGTATTTTTTCGGGGGGGAGGAGACCCAGCCTGTGAACGGTAGCTGTAGCGAGCCTAGTCCAGCTACGGCTAAGTCTACTGAGGGAGACCGACAGATCGGCGGTATATCACACAAACACCCCCCGCGTTGTCCGTGGGTTATACCCACTGCCCATTGGGGGGAGCGACAAACCGATCGTCAACCGATCGCCCGACTTGTCGCCTGAAAACGCGTTTATATTAGAGGCAACTAGTCGGGCTATCGGTTTGTGCCACCATAGCCGCTTTGCGATCACAGTCTGGCTAGCAAACCGAACTGATCCAGCCAACGGGCACTAGGTATTAAAGGCAGTGCTTATTAGAGAATCGGTTCGGTTCGGTTCAGTTTCTGGCAGCTTCAGTGCACACTATAAATAAACCCCTGCCTCAAACCGATCGCCCGACTCAAAGCCTTGAAATCGTTGGTAACTTTTCTCCCTCCACGAAGGAAAATCTGGCTAGCCCCGACGACCAATCAGAACCGAACAGCACCGAACGAACCGAACCGATTTTGCCAATGGACACCGAGTATAAGACTAGTAAGTCAAAGGACAATATGAAGGATAATATCTTAGGAAAAATCCGCAGACAACTACTCGTCTAGACAGCGCGTCGATGGAACGCCATTACTCAACAATGAATCATAAAGAGAAA